GTCATCAAGGAACTTGCGAAAGAAATATCGGTTCCGCTAAGAATAATTTTTGGAAGCTTCTTTTCGCGCGGTGAAGTACCTAAAGATTGAAGGCTAGCGAACGTCGTACCGATCTTTAAGAGGAAGGAAAAGAGCAATCCGGGGAACTATATGCCAGTATGTCTCACGAGTATCCCGGAGAAGATCATGGAGAGCATCCTAAGGGACCACATTTTGGATTTCCTCGAAGGAAATCCGGGACTCACAGCATGGCTTTAAGAGGCGTCGTAATTGTCTAACCAACATGCTCGAATTCTACGATTGGACGACGGAAGAGAGGGATAAGGGGAATCCAGTGGATATCGTCTATTTAGATTTCACGCAAGTTTTTGATACCGTTCCTCACAAGAGGTTGCGGGTTAAACCGGAGGCGCACGTGATCCAGGGTAGGACGAGCGAGTGGATCAGTGGATCAGCAGCTGGTTGACGGGAAGAGAGGAACGGAGCGTCGATGGAGGTCGGTGTCGCAAGCCCTGAGGGACTCCCCTCAGGGCTCAGTCTTTGGACCACTTCTGTTTCTGGTCTGCATAAACGATTTGTATCTCGGCGCAGAGGGTATAAGTAAATTTGCCGACGGCACCAAAATACGTTTCTCTATAAGGGGGTGAGGCAGCTAAGGCTAGAGCCGAGCGAGATTTGAGTCTTTTGGATGATTGGAACAAGAAATGACTCGAGGTTTAATAACAAGTAAGCGTAAAACTCTCCACGTCGGTCGAACAAACGGTAGGTCTCTCGACGCGTTCGGCGAGGATGAATTGGGGGAGGCAGACAGAGAGAAAGATCTAGGAGTTTTTGTCGACGGACCTCAAGTTTTCCTCGCACGCGCAAGCGACAGTGACCAAATGTAACAGGATCCTAGGTTTCATTCGTCGTTCGGTTGCAAGTAGGAACTCTCGCGTTATGCTTCTGTTGTATGCGGCACTGGTAAGACCCCAGTTGGAATCCAGCACCCAGTTTTGGAGATCTACAAATAAGGATGATTTGTTGCCGCTCGAAGGGGTACAGAGGAGGGCCACAAGAATGACAAACGAGGTTAGGGGATTTCCGTACGAGAATCGTTTTAGAAGTGCCGGGACTGTAGAAGAGAGAGAGGTTACAGTTTTTCCCAATTGCTAACGTCCGTTTCTCAAAACTACGTTTCCGTTTTCAAAACTATTTGAACAAATCCCAAAACTCTGCAAATTTTTCACAAAACTTAACACCCGGTTTCGTTGTTAACGTACGAAAAGTGAAACTCGAAGTGCGTTTTTCACATCTTAACGTACCTCTTTCGGAACTTAACGTAAGGAAAAGAACAAGAAGAGCTACTGGGTGGGTGCCAGCGATGGATGCAAAGGGTTTACTCATTCGGTTTTTGGGGAATACAGGTCGGGAAGAACTCCTTGTCTCACTCAAATGTGTTTTCTTAATCTCACCCTGTTTGCGACCAAATTCTCATCCCTCCAACTCCCTGCTTCCTAACTCCCCTTTGTATTCATGTGAATTCGCGGAAAAAGGAAAATGAAACGAAATGTTTCCTCCAAGGAAAGGAAAAAACGGGAAAGAGAGGCCTCAGTGCAGAAAGGAGCCACGGTATGGCTTTCCAGGCCATTCCCCACCATATTACACCTCTCCGATGAGGAAAGAAAAAAAAAATACAAAGTCCGGTTCCGCTTCTAGGTACCGCATCGCATCACGCAAAAAATGTTATTGCCCTCCAAAGGCATCTCTCGTTACAAGAACGATTCAGCCGAGACGAACGAGAGCTCGTACAACGAGTCCCATCCGAAATGGCCAACATTGACGTAAATACTTTCGCGAATTGAAGAACGACCTGCAATATGGAGCGCACCGGAAGAAACTTCCCGATGCGTTTGAATA